CTTTCCCTCTAGGCATAATAAGTCCAAGTTCACAGACCCTGGCTTGGGGAACCTCACCTACAGTAATCCCTCATACCGGACATCTACCCAAGAGGTGAAGATTGAAGCGATTCCCAAACCAACCATGTACAACCAGTTGTGCTATAAGAAAGAGGTAAGAGTTTTGCTGCTAAGGACACAGGAGCCCAGTTCAAGTTGCTGTTGAGTATTACAGGCCTTTGTGAAAATGTTGGAACTTGTCAGCATTTACTTCTAGGATGTAGGAGGACAACTTGAGTGAATTGCTCAGATTCCTATGGAGATGAACCAGCAGCACTTCTTTCCCAGTGAGCTGTAGTGAATTAGACCTGTCCTCAGCTCTCTGCTTCTTCCCAACTCCCAGTTTCTTATATTTCGTTTGCACTGGGTGCTGGCCCTCAAAGTACCAGGAGTCAAAGGGAAGTGTCTTCCCTGGACACAGTCCTAGTTAGTGACTGTTGCACCAAGGTTGCTTTGGATAGTCACTGGGGAACCAGGCAGGCAGAAGGGCTTTGGTAACAAGAACGTGGCTCCTGGCTGTGCACTGCCTGGAAGGGGTGGGACAGGGAGAGAACTGGAGCCCTTATTTAATGAAGCATTTTAAAGGCCCTGCAGACATCTGCCCTGGACAGGATGGAGAGGGCTTGATATGATATCCTGCAGCACTTAGTTTCTCCTCTGTTTTCTCCTCAGAAGCTTTCCTATCACTCAGATAGCTTCTCATCTTCCCTCTTCTGATTTCCGTCCACATCCTCACGTCAGGTATCACTACTCTGTGTTTGATCCTGCCTCCCTCACTCAAGCTCTGTTGTGTGGCTCAAGCACTGTCCCATACTAATTGTTCTTTCTTGTTTTCTCCCCTGCTTTTATGTCCTTAAACCAGCTCTAGTGTCTATCAAGAAAGTACAGGTAATTTTCTAGGGCAGATCCTTTGGCCTTGGCTTTGGCTACTCATACTCAGTGTGTGAGATTTGAAAAAGGTAATTTCTGTAGGACCATTTATGATGATCTGTTAGATCACTTAGTTCCTCGAGCAGGGATCACAGCAAGACTTACACAAAGGAGAGTTTTCCCTGGCTTTTATTTTTTCAAAGGTACTGTCCAATAGATTTCCCAAACTTTCCTGCCATTTTAGTCTTTATTTACTAAGGATAACTTAGGTTTATTTATCTGGGAATCTAAGCCCTTTCCACTTTTATCTTAATTCTGCTGCTCCTAGATATTACCCAGATGCTTATTTCCCCATCCAGTTTCTCCTCAGGGGTAGATCAGATGTTCTGATGCTCCCTATTTGGCAGTGAGCCACTTCAATCTCAGTATGGTCCCTTTAGCCTCTGATCATTTTAGTTGTTTCCCTATAATCTCCTTCCCCTGTACCACTGTGAGACTCAGACTGAACAGTGGTGTTCCAGCTGTGCTCTCCTGAGAGGCAAAACTGGAATGACTCAGATATGAAGATAACACAGACCTAGAATTGATTCCCTGCCTGCTCTTAGCATGAAGTCTTACAGCTTTTCCTGCTTCCTATTTTGGTTTGTGTTTGGGGTTTTTTTCCCCTTCCTTTTTAGGCTCAGTGTTGTTCTTACTCCCCACTGTTTGGGAATAGATGTAGTTGAATTAGAAGAGCCAGCTCATCCTCATTCCCCTCCTATGATTTGGAGGCTCCTGATGTTCGGAGCTTTTGCAGGGAGGACTTGTCGGGGGGTGGTGAAGAACCGATGGGAAGCTTAGAATGGGTTCTGCCATTGTGACAGTCAGAGCCCCAGTGGCTGTTTCATGGAGGTCCAGCCTTTTGTCTGCTTCACTGTCTACATCCTAGCTCTGCTTTGCTCTTTGCCATGTTTTCCCATAGATGTACTGTTTCTTTTCATTCATCTGTCTGCTTCCTAGACTGGTCCTGACCACAGCTACACCAAGGAGAAGATCAAGATTGTGGAGGGGATATGCCTTTTATCCAGTGATGATTCTGAGTGGGATGACCTTAAGCAGATTCGGAGCTCCCGAGGAGGGATCCTGCGGGACCACGTCTGCATGAAGACAGACACGGTCTCTATCCAGGCTAGTTCTGGCTCACTGGATGACACTGAAACTGAGCAGCTGCTGCAGGAGGAACAATCTGAATGCAGCAGTGTTAACACAGCAGCAGCCACTCCGGAGCGGCGGGGCTCACTCCCAGACACAGGCTGGAAACACCAACGCAAGCCCTCTACTGAGAGCGAGGTCTAAAGCACACCTGACTTTGGGAATGCTCATACCCTCCTTAGCCTCTGCTCTACACAAAACAGACAGGACTCTGCCTGCTAGGCAAGGAAGGGCACAGAGACCAGCCTCTCTTGCGAGGGGCCCAGAGACTGTGACTGCCTTTCAGCAAGGAGCTTGGGCAGCTGTGCTGATGTGGTTGGAGAGGGAGGATGGGTGGGTTGGAACCCAGAGACCCTTTTGGCTCATTTTCACTGTCTGTGGTTTATTTATATGTTCCCCTTTCCTGGAAGCTGCCACGTTAACTTTTGCAGTGGCTCCTCTGGCCTGAATCTGGTTCAGATTGTGTTCTGTGGCAACCCGCAAGTCCTGTGCCATCCAGCTCACGGTCAATGCCCATGAAGAGAGGAGAGCTGCCTCATTGCTAGCTCCCGGTTGCAGAAGTTCCCCTGGTTCCACTGGTTCCACTAGTGTTCCAGCACTAGCAGCACTCTTTGAGGCTTTGTGTTCAGGGGTTTCTGACTTGAGAGGGGTCTTGGAATAGATGAGGTATACTTCAGGGCTCAAGGGGACACTGACACAGCATCAGGTCACCTTTAAAGGGCATAAAGAGGGTGACCACAGTTGCCATGACTTGCTTCCTGAGAGCTTCACTGCTTACTTTCCCATCTGCTAGTAAAAACTTTAGGGAATGCTTCAGATTGGAGCACTGTGTCTGTTGCTGGCAGTGGACACTGCTCCTGTTCTCCCCTTTTCCTGTTAAAACATGTTTCTACTCTGGAAATACAAGAGACAGCAAATGGCCCTTTCAGAACTGCTCCCTGTGGGTATTCGAGTCAGAGTGCTGAACTTAGAGTGCTCTGAACTTAAGCTGAACTTAAGCAAAGCAGAGATTGGTGGTGTTCTTAGCTCTGCAGAGCTAATGGGAAGAAATGCATCTCAGCAAGACCTAATTTCTACTCCTGTCTTTGCATAATTGATATATTAAAAATGAAGAAGAAAACCTGCTAAGTCCCCACTAGTCCTAATTCTTCAAGGACCCAATTCTGTTGGTCTTTAGGACCTTAGATTATTGTAATAAGGGGAAAAAAAGGGAATTCCTAGGTCGAGTCTTTCCCAGGGGAATCCTCAGTGCTGACAGTTAGGAACTGCTTTATTACTATGCTGAGCCCATTTGACCTAGAATAGGAGACAATAATCAGGGAGCTGTAAGGGCCATTTTAAATAACTGTTTATCAGATAGAATTGCACTTTAAGCTCTTCTGTTACCACTAAACAGCTCTTCTTGCAAAGGCATTTTTCCCATCAGCTGCAAGAGCTTCAGTTGTTCTCTGGCCTCCACAGCCTTTACCCTCCGGGGGGTGTAATCCTACCCTTGCAGTTGCACCCCAGCAGCATCTGGAGGTGGGGCTCCCAGGGACTATTTCCACCTTTTCATACTCTCTTGAATTGTCTTGTCACCTGCTTGTTCAGAGGGGAGAAAAAACAGATAGAGAAGTTATCTCTTGATGCTTCTTCAAAACTGGGATTTTTATTAACCCCTCCAGTCACTATCATGGTAAAATATGAAGTGTTAATCCAGATGCTTGGAAGCAGAACTTTCCAGTGAAGAATTTCTCACAGCAAACTCTGTAACCTCTTTATTTCCTGGAAAGAGGTCAAGTATATTCCCACCTGGGGTGTAAAGAGAGCAACACGTACACTAGGGATATGGCTTAGAGGTGTGGGGAGGACACATCTCCCATGCAATATTTGTCCAGATGGTAGAAGAAAGGCAGATCCATCCTACCCTGCTCTAACCCTGTTCGTGCACTAACAGTCCTGCTACCCTGAAAACCACCACAGCTGCCAGCGGGTTGGCTGTACTTCTACAGCTCTGCAGGAAGGGGAAGGTTGCAGCTTTGACCTGGCTCTAAGGTGGCTTGAAACTCTGTCCATAACTGCACCATTGGGCTGACTGGTGTATATTCCTGTGGAAGATGAACTGGAGCTGAGGCTTGGGAATTTCCCTGTGTTAATGTGGGGCTCTTCCCTATTCCCAGAGGGATTTTTTTTTTTTAATTTTTTTTTTAAATTAGATTGTTATTTAATTATTTATTTGATTGACTCCAGCGTGGGAAGCATTGGTTTTGTTGGGCAGAGGCACTTTTGGATTGAGATGTGGAACTCGACTGGGAACTGAGACAGGAGTGTGTGTCACTGACATGGACCGTGCCGTCTGAGCTGCCTCATGCAGGGGCAGCACCAGAGGGCTCAAGCATAGGCAGAAGAATCAATATTAACAGAAACCACATTGTCCTGGTCTAAACCACAACACACATGTAGAGGCAGGGGCAGAGCTGGGGGCGAGTGGCTGGATGGGGAAGGAAGGCTCTGATTTCTAGGAGAGGAGGGTTTCTTTGGGCTTTTGGGTACGTTCAGTTTGGTTTTCCCCAACAGCTTTTGGTGAGCGTGCACCAAAGTCTTGAGGTGGGACAGGGCTGAAGGGAAACATCTGCCCAAACCTGTCACTTGAGGTTCACTCAGCCTGTGTCACAATAATCACTGGCTGAGTCTCAAGTGCAGAATGGAAAGGAAAACCCAGTCAGTCTTTCCAACAGCTTATGGTGCTTGTGATCTCCACCTTGATACTCTCTGCTGTTTCTTAGGAGGGACCCTTCACACTCCAGCCTAACAACCATTCATAACTGCTCTCTGCTCCCTCCCTCAAATGATTATGGTGAAAAGGAGCAACAACATGTCCCACAGCCTCTCCTCCACCGAGGTGGGCAGAAATTACTTCCTTTATCGTAGAGACGGCCCCAGTGAGATGTTGCCTGCGGGGTGCATCATGGTTCCCTGTTCCAGGGAAGAGAAGACCCTCGTTGCACTTAGAAAGTTAAGAATGTAGAAGGGCTACTGGGGGATGATCTCTTGAGCACTGATTTACTATGTAAAAAGCAAACCTCTCTCCTGTCTGTCCCGAGCTAACGTCAGTGATTTCTGTGTGTTCCTGTGTAATGGTTTTAACGTTACTCACTGGAGACATTGGACTTTCTGGAGTTATTTAACCACTGTGTTCAGTATTTTAGGGGTTGATGATAATTTAATATAAATTTAGCTTTTCTTAACCATTCTGACTGGCTTTTGGTTGTGAATCGTGCATGTTATTTTGACTCCCTTGAAAGGGGAGCTCCCACATGTGTTTGCATAAAACCTCAACTTTGTTTTGTATCATAGGAGCAAGAAGGTAGAAATGGACCTGGGTTCTTTGATAATCTGATTGTAACACACTTCTGCCACTACAGCTTTGAATCAAGGACCAAATATCCACACTCAGGCACTTTAGCAAGTTCCTGTGCACACATAACACCTGTCTGGCTTGTTTTCCTTTATAACATGGCACAGCAGAAGAGGGCGTTCCTCTTCTTGTAAAGTGTTATAAGTAGCTGAATAATGAATGAAACATTCAGTAGCACAGGAGGAAAATTCAGTAATTCAGGAGGGCCATGGATGTGCTGTGAGGGCTGGAGCAGCTCTGCTCTGGAGCCAGGCTGAGAGAGCTGGGCTGGGGCAGCTGGAGAAGTCTCCTTAGGGGAGACCTTAGAGCAGCTCCAGTGCCTAAAGGGGCTACAGGAAACCTGGAGAAGGGCTTTGGACAAGGGCCTGTAGGGTCAGGACAAAGGGAATGGCTTTAACCTGACAGGACATTTAGATTAGATATTAGTAAGAAGTTCTTCCCTGTGAGGGTGCTGAGGTGCTGGCACAGGGTGCCCAGAGAAACTGTGGCTGCCCCATCCCTGGCAGTGTTCAAGGCCAGGTTGGACACAGGGGCTTGGAGCAACCTGCTCTAGTGGAAGGTGTCCCTGCCCGTGGCAGGGGGTTGGAACTGGGTGAGCTTTAAGCTCCTCCAACACAAACCATTCTGTGATTCTGTGCATACCTGACACTGTGGTACTAGTAGTATCCCATTCTATCCTTTTCTGATGGAAGAGGTGCCAAAACCACTTGAACCATTTAAGCTTTATTCCTGCTCATTCACAGTTGAAGCACAGCGCAGAGGTCACTTCACTGAGGTCGTACAAAAACATAACCAAAACCATACCCTCACTTTGCAAAAAATACTGATGATTCTTATGCAGCGTGGTGGGGAGACGGCAGTGTGTGACCACTGGGGGTGTGCTGATGGCATTCTCCTGTCCCTTGTCTTCTATTCT